AGAGGCTGGAGAACAATAGGAGGGGAGGAGCAGGCTCGGCTGGGATTGTGCTGTCACATGAGCTGCAGCCTGTCTCAAGCCAATGCAGAATTCACTGTGCAGGGATCTGCTCTGTCCCCCTTTCCTCAATTTAAGGTTTGTCGTGGAAGTCTCAGTTCAGCTCTAGCCAAACAGTGTGCTGGAGGGTGGTTTTTATTCTGAGAATAACGTGATCTCTTTCTGCTTGGTAGTTTCGAGCAAGGAATGCCTCTGGAGTGAGCCTCAGTTCAGCAAAACCTCATGGCTTTGCCAGCTTAAATTGAGAAAATCCTGTTACTGTTGATCATAGAGTCACAGAATGGTTTGGGTGGGAAGGAGCCTTTTGAAGCTCATCCAGTCCAACCCCCTGCAGGGACAGGGACACCCCCAGCTAGAGCAGGGTGCTCAGAGCCCCGGCCAACCTCCCCTGGGATGGTTCCAAGGATGGGGCAGCGACCACCTCTCTGGGCAGCCTGGGCCAGGGGCTCACCACACTCAGCATCAGAATTTTCTGCCTCCCCTCTAGTCTAGATCTTCCTTTTTAGTTTAAACCCATCACCCCTTGTCTTGTCCCAACAGGCCCTATTAAAAAGTCCATCCCCAGCTTTCTGACAGGTCCCCTCTGAGTCCTGGCAGCCCCCAGCAGGTCTCCCCAGCTGGAGCCTTCTCCTCTCAGCTGCCCCAGCCCAACTCTCTCCTGCTGGGCTCCCAGCAGAGGGGTTCCCCCCTCGGGGCATTGCTGGGGCCCTGAGTCACTTTGTGATCCTGATCCTGGTCCTGCACTCCAGTTCAGTGCTGGGAAGCTCTTACCTGGATACCACCTCACACATGGCTGCCACAGCATGTGCTGGGCTTTTGCCCCTGTTTTGACTCTTTCTGAATCCTGATTATCCCCCTTTTATGGAACCACTCCATGTGTCTGTGATGGGCTGTCTGGAGCTTTTTAGTGATGCTGCAGTGCAGCTTATTTAAGCCGATTTGGAGAGAATTGGGAGGGAATGGAGGTTTAGGCCAATTCGGCCCCTCCTGAGCTCTGTGGTGATGGAGATAATCCATTCCCATAGCCTCTGTGTGCTGGAGTACTGAGGGAGCTGCAGATCTGTAGCACACCTGCTCATTAGGAGCCCAATTTGCACTCATTGCAAGTAGAGGCTTCTTAGTAATTTTATTAGAAACAAGGCTGGAAACTTAAGATACTATTCTTTGTCAGAAAGCTGAGGTGGGTGGCAGCTATTAATAAAACCCAAACCTGAGCTGCTGGGAGGCTTGAGGTTGTGAAACACTGCTGCTGGCGTGCAGAAATTCAGGCACACTTGAAGTGCTGGTGATTTGTGTCCCTATTTGCTGGTCGCTGGGCTTACTGACATGGCCCTTGTAGCTGAAGTCATAGGGCAGAAGAATAATATTTCTCAGCTTCATGGTCATTCTCATCCTGCAGCTGTAAATGATGTCGCTGCTTAGATCAGCCTTCTGCTTGCTTAGAAAGCACACTGCCTATGAAGAAAAAATGCTTCCTAATGTTGAAATCCTGTGGTGGCAGGAAGCTGCATGTTTGATTTAATACAGGTTGGTGGCTCCAATCCTGTTGAAGAAATCTCAGTCTTGCTGAGCACTGTGGGAGAGCTTTAAAAGGCTGGTGTCACACCCCCCAAAGATGGGTTCCCCGGGCTCCTTTTCCTTAGTTGATGGGGAGAAGCTCTCTGAGGGTTATTGAGTGGCTCTGTTAAATTCCTGTTCAAATATCTTTGCAGTACTGGGGGGAAGGAGCAGCTGCTCCACTCTCCTCCCGTGGCTGTCCAGCCTCTGGGAGCACCCACACATATGATGTGGTCCAAAAAGTGATTTAGAGATTTTGGAGGATTAAAATAATGAACGCTTGCAGAAGGATTAGAGAGAAATTTCTTCAGTGTAAGCCTGGCTTAAATATCAATGAACTTCAAATAGATTTCTGGGAAGGCTGAGACCTGGAGTGTGCTGGAAAGCATTTCACTGCTCCATACACTCCTTTTACTGCTGTGGAACTGTACTTCAGGTGTTAAATTACCTCACCCCAGTTAGGTTTGGGGAGGAGGGTGGGCATAGCTGGAGTTAACTGGTTATCCACTGTCCTGTGCCTGGGTAAATGACTGGATTCTGTTATGCACTTGGAACAATGAGTGAGGGAACACTTCCTCTGACAGGGTATTTTGAGAAGTTCTGGCTGTCCTAGAAGCTCAGGGCTAACCACTGCAGCCTTCTGCTGCAGGCAGATCTTGTTCCAGGCGTGGTCTGGTTTTACAGCCAAGCAGTCTGGTCTCATTGTCCCTCCTTCCCCTGCCCCAGGCCACTTTTATTTAAGATAATGCCATCCAGCCAGGTTTCATGGAACTTGGCTCCTTGCAGGCCTGAGAAATAATTTCTGGTGATAGGTGCATTGCTAGGCCAGTGAAAGATGCTGAGCTGCATTGTGGTCCCTATTTTACCTTCCCAAGGAGATGACATGGTGCAGTTGTGGAGCTTCTCTATCCTGTGCTTACCCAGGAAGACCCTTCTGGCCCCTGTGCAACAAAAAGAAGCTCAGCCTCGAGATCTTGTAGTCCTGTGTAACATCAGCTTTGAAAAATCAGACCAACCTTTCCCCAGTTTGGGGAGTAAGAAATTCTCAGCACGCTTGGAACCATGGTTGGTGGTTTATCACCTGAGAGGCCCAGATACCAGTGTGGCATCTTGTGGAGTCGCTGTGCATCAGGACACTTCGATTGCCTCATCACGTCATTTACAAGGGTGGAGAGTGGGAGGTTTGGGGGAGCAGAGACACACAAAGGGCAGAGTGGAGGAAATGGGCATCTCATTAAAGCTGGCTGTCCTAACGAAGGCAGGGCTGCACTGGGGGCAGCTGCTTCCTTACCAGCTGCCTTGGAGCCCGTTTCATGTCACGGGGGGAGGTCTGAGGCTGGGGGTGGAGGGGAGTTGGAGTGCACCATTGCACCTTCCTCTTCAAAAGGTCACAGTTCACTTCTGGTGTAAATAGCTGGGTCATATTTTTTTCCAGATGGACGAGTGATCTAGAGGCTTGGCATCAAACCCCAGTTCAATAGCTTTGTCAGCTGTTGGTGACATGAACTTCCTGCAGCGTTTTAGATACACTTTCTAAATCAGCATGAAAAAACTGATGGCGTTGCTGAGCCCTTTTGGGGCGATTTCCTTCCCTTTGGGAAGGAATTCACAACTTTAACATACACCACAAAACCCTTGAGCCCTTTACTTGTCCTGGTGAAGTAGCTCTGTGGTCCAGGTGGGATCATTGCTGTGTCTGTGTCTGTGTTCGTGGTGCCTCCTCTCTCCTCCAGCCTCCCCGAGCTCGCTCCCGTAGCTCCCCTGGCTCAGCTCCTCCCTAGAGCAGCTCGCAGACTCCCCAACAGCCTGGGCAGTAATGCTTGCTTTCTATTTGTTTTATTTTCTTCTCTTCTCTTCCACTCTCGTTATATTTTTACTTTCTTTTTTTCTTTGTGATGTGACGTTCTCAGCTGATGTATTGAAAGCAAACCCTTCTAATTTTGGAGTCCAGATCACAAGAGTGAGTTTCTTTCTACTAGTGTCTATAAGCTGTAATTTTTTTTGTGTGTCCTCCCCTCTGATTTTGGTAACGCTCAACAGCCTTTAGTAAATAGGATTAGGTAAGAGCATCCTCTGTCTTGTCAGTCTTCCCCTTTTTCACAAAGCAATGTTCTCTTTACATTGGGCCAGCATAACTCCTCTAATTTGGGTTAGTTTTCAGAGCTGCTGTTTCTGTCTGTGTGGCTCTGACTCGGCTCCGTTAAAGCGGCTGAGCCAGCCAGAAGGTGTGTTCAGAACTCACCAGCGACTCGTTCATCTCACACGAGAATTTCTCCAAAGGGAAATGCTGCTCTAGTTCCATTCAGGCCCTTCACGAAATGCCTGAAAACCAGAAAGTTTTTTTTTCAGAAGCTTTGTACACGCTGCTTTCTGAAATGGGGCCTTTTAAAAGGGTTTCAAATTGTGCACAAAAAAAATAAACCCAAATTAATCCTCCAGGATGGTAGGATGGTCTGTCTTTGCTGCTTTCTGTTACTTAAACTTTGGGATACCACTCCAAAAAAAATGCCTTGTGGATGTTCACAGATATTCAAAGGAAGGCCACCAGCCTCTTTTCCTAGTGCTTTGAGACAAGGACTTTCAAAAGTTTTCTGAAATCTCAGATGTTTGATTCCTCTTAGAATTGGATATCTAGATTTCCTCAGTGACGTGACGACGTTTGAAATTCCTTGGGTTTGGGTTTACTTTCTTACTTGATAAGACTTCTAGTGTTTCTGCCCTCTAAAATATTCAACCCCCAAAGACCCCACTGCATTTTAGAGCATTTTGTTTCTTGAGAGACCATCTCAGAACTACTGTCAGGAAAGCAAGTAACTGTTTGTGGTGTATGTTGTGTTATTTATTTGCTTACCGGAATCCTCTGCATGGGATTTTTGGCACCTTCTCCAATGTAATTTGTACATTGCTTTTGTAAGATGTGATACCTGGGGAACTCTTGCACCAGCTAATCCCTTTCTGTTCTTTGGCCCGTGCTATTAAGACTCTGTCACACGCTGTTTGTCAAGTACATTTGCACCCTGCAAAAGCAGCAGAGTAAACGGTCTTGTTGTATTTTTCCCCTTTCCCTTCCAGAACTCGCTTGTTGCTTTGAAATCAGCTTTATTGTACACGCTAAAGAAAACCAGTCAGGTGGATTGGAAGTGAATATACCCAGACTTGAAATTGTAGCCAAAAGTGATCAGCAGTCGTCTCCGTGTAGCTCCTGGGAGGATGGCGAGATGCTGTTCGGTTTGTTGAGCCACGATGCTGTTGCTCCATCCTGGCTCAACAAATGTTCCTGGGGAGGGGCTTGGCCACATCTATTCCAGTGCTACAGCCGAGGTGCTTTTGGACCCCTAACCACGAGCCTCTTTCCTCTAATCTGTTCCTGCTTTCTTTTGCCTCAGAGGTTGAAAGATCTCAAGCAAAGGGAATTCGCTCGCAATGTCTCCTCGAGGTCCCGTAAAGACGAGAGGAAGCAGGAGAGAGCGCTGCGGCGCCTGCACGAGCTGGCTGAGCAGAGGAGACAGCCCGGATGGTGAGCACGGCTGGGCCCAGCACCTTGGGGTGTGTGGTGGGGGTGGAAGGGAGCTCTGGGGATCATCTCATCCCAACCCTGCTCCAGCAGCTCACCCCCAGCAGGGTGCCCAGGGTCACAGCCAGCCACGTTTGGGATCTCTCCAGAGCAGGAGACTCCACAGCCTCTCTGGGCAGCTGCTCCAGGATCCAACACCCTCCCACCAAAGAAGTTTCTCCTCCTGCTCAGGTGGCACCTCCTGGGTTCCAGTTGGTGCCCGTTGCCCCTTGTCCTGTCCCTGGGCACCACTGACCAGAGTCTGGCCCCAGCCTGCTGCACTGACGTGCTTTCTTCTGTAATCTTGCACAAGTTTTGAGGGCAAAAGCTTCACACTGAAGCTTGGGCTCATGCTGTGGTTTGGGTAGGAGTGAGTTCACTAAGCTGGTAGTTCAGTTTATATATCCAGCAGTATGTTTTCTGCAGTTATTCAGTATTATTTAAAAATTCAAGTGGCTGTGTAATGCTACTTTAATGCATGTTTCTGGGTCCGGGAGTCCTGGAGGTGTGTAGGAGCCTGTTTTCAGTGTGGTGTGACTCTGACCTCAGCTGTGTCCTCTGTTGTCTTGTTCACACAGCGCTCCTGGGAGCGGACCCATGTTCAGAACCACCACGGTGGCTGTGGATGAGGAAGGTGGAGACGATGACGATCCTGCAGCCAACAGCAGCTCTTTCATCCAGACGACTTCTGGCCAAGCCTCAGAGATGACGACGGACAGAGGTTTCCTCAGCATTGGACAAGTTGGTGGCAGTGTTCCAGCCAGCCAGACGCCCGTCCAGCCAGCCCAAGCCATCAGCTTCGGCATCAAGAGCGCCCTGGGGACGCCGCTGCAGAAGATCGGCGTCTCCTTCTCGTTTGCTAAGAAGACCCCGGTGAAGCTCGAGACCATCGCTTCCGTTTTCAAGGACCACGTGGAAGAATCAAGTTCTGCAGATGGAGCAAAAGGGGATGAGAGAGGGTCCTCGGACACAGGCAGCCTGCAGAAATCTGGCGAGGGTGAGAACACAAATAATTCGGAGGGCAAGGCGGAGGAAGATGAGCAGCATGACAAGGACAGCGGGTCTCTAGCCACTACGTTATCTAAACTGAAAAAGATGAGACGAGAAGATGGACCAATGGCAGTGGAACCAGAATATTACCACTATATTCCCCCAGCCCACTGTAAAGTAAAGCCTAATTTTCAATTCCTGCTTTTCATGAAGTCTACTGAACAAATGGAAGCTGAAAATGTGAACAAAAAAAACACGCATGAAGCTAAAAAGGGCAGTTCTCCAAAACCCAAGCCTGGGAAGCACGTGGAGAAGGCTGCTGAGACCACGGGGCAGCAGAAGGAGCAGAGCGTGACTGAAGCTGCGGCTCAGCAGAGCAAGGCAGAGCTGAAGGAACCTGTAGAAAATGTGAGTGTGCAGGAGAACAAGTGTCTTACAGAGAGTGATCTCCCCGAGCCAGACGCTGATAAAGAAGTCGCTCAGCCCGGCCCGGGCTGTAAGGATGTCTCTGAAGGACCAAAGCATCCGACAGGACCTTTTTTCCCTGTTCTGAGTAAAGATGAGAGCACGACTCTGCAGTGGCCTTCAGAGCTCCTCATATTTACCAAAGCAGAGCCGTCGGTTTCGTACAGCTGCAACCCCCTGTATTTTGACTTCAAGCTCTCCCGCAACAAAGATGGTAAAAGCAAAGGGGCGGAGAAGACGAAGGAGCCAGGGGGTCTTTGTAAAGAAAGCGTCCAGAGCGCAGAATCTGGTGAGATCAACAAGCCCAGGGAGGCAGAAATGGCAGCTAACAGTTCTGCTCTAAAAATGGAAAACAAATCCTTGTCCGCCTGTGGCTCCCAGAGCAAGCAGGAGTCGGGTTTGGCAGCTGTGAGTAAGGGAGAGGGAGAGGAGAGTGGTAAAAGCGCCGCTGGGAGGAGTAAATCTGGAAGATCCCATAAACACAAAAAGAAAAAGAAGCACAAAAAGTCCGGCAAACACAAACGGAAACACAAGGAGGAAGCTGATGAGAAGGGCCGAAAAACTGACCCAGGGGAAGAGAAGCCCAAGAAACGGAGAAGACACAGGCACAAAAAAGGCAAACCCTCCCTTCCGACCGAATCGGACCGAGCGCTGAAAAGCGAGCTGCCCGAGGACTGCGGCCATTTCCCCAGGAAGCGGCGCTGCCCTCCGGAGGCCCAGAGGAAGTCTCTGTCTGCCGAGGAGGGAAGCAGCGGTAAGAAA